AAGTGAAATCAGTGTTAGTGTTTAAAACTTTCAGGTTTAATTCAAATGACATACTCAAACATTTGAAACAGCTTTTATTTCAGCAACATTTGTTGGTATTATGAATACTATAAAAGGTTTTGAACTCTTCAGTTGATCTGATGACCTTTATGTACATGACATGTGCCAGCTTCAGCCATGCTGTCACTATGCAGGCAGCAGACAAACACTTATACCATGCGCTTGTCTATTTTAAGCACTAAATGGTTCCCTAAGCTGTGAGCACTAATCATACTGTTGGTGACCCAAAGAAAAGATCCCTATCCATGTATAGGACTGTTATTCGAATAGGCCATTATTTCCATTGCTCATGTTCAATCGAGGAAAAAACACTTCACATTGGTCCCTGCCAAATGCAAGTATACCTTTGTTACACTAAATGTACATGCATACAGAGATTCCTCTTCAAAGCTCTCAGATGATATTCCTGCCAGCAGGTCACCACAAAGCTCAGGAAATGGTCACATCAGTTCCAGCAGCAGCTGCTCTACTGTAGCTTACTTTAGCTATCTGGGTAAGGTCTTAGAATAGCTCTTTAACCCATTTATATCCACTAACATGGGAGTTTAGTCACCTGTATATAAGTCAGTATTCAGCTACTGTGTATGCAAATCCATAACCTTCCCCATAAGCAAATGAGGTTGACTGACAAACATAAACAGAGACATTCAATGGTTCAATCACAGGCTTAATTGAATATGTATATTAAAGGTTGGAACAATCCCAGTTGTCAACAACCATTTATATTCAAAATCAAGGTTTATTTAGTGAAAGCTAGAAGAGTTTACAAAGGCGGAAATATATAGAATTTTTAAATATAAGCCATCAGCATGGATATTTTTGCTAGAAATGAGTGACTTTACTGTATATTAAGCCAGACTCAGAGAATGTTATGGCTTTCCAAGAGACTTCGGTCGCCAAAAGTCCTCCAGTTCTTATAACCAGAGATCAGTTAGCAACCACGGTACTTTCCCAGCATCTGCTTGTGTATTTATACCCAAGGAATGAGGCAGCCAGGTTAACTATACAGTATAGAGCAATAGCCAAGTAATACAATATAGTAATAGTAATACAATATACAGTACGTGTAAATAATATGCTATTATGTGTAAGGGTTTTAAAGCAACACAATTTAGACATACAGTTGCCCCTGTGCTGTGGGAGATTTTTGACCTTTAGTTAAAGTTTGGTTAAAACTAAAGATAAAACTTATTCTCTAATAGAGTGGTAGCTGGTCCTCAGCATTTTCAACGTCTTGATGAACATCAACACACGGCCATCTTACCTTGTTGATGGGTCTTTCATGAGTGTAACCATCCAATCTAAATAATTGTATCAAACACAAATCCTCAATGTAGAATCCAGGAATTCAGTCCAGAACCATCTGCTGAGAATAAATTGCAGTTAGGGGTCGCCATTCATGGTAAACAAACCATAGCTCTTGAAGTTGAGTGAACAAAGAAATCTCACCAAAGTGAGTCAAGCCCTCAGATCCATGTTCAAATGCACTAGTCTGTACAGGGTCCTGATAGCGAGCTGTGAAGATACTAAAATAGACGCACAAGCTTGTGTGGCCAAACTGAGCAGCAACTCAGGGCGCAGCTTGCTAGCTCACATTGGAATAACCATTGGGTGTCGAGTAGCAGGGCAAGACAGGCCAGCAGGATGAAATGGACACTGTCATTGGTTATTTCTGTAACCAAGCAGAGAAGGCTGATGGGCCTTACTGTTGGGAAGATGACAAGGACTTCATGTCAATGAAGAAGATGATATCAATCATTTGGATCTTTGTTCAGACATCACATAGATACAGGATGTACTTACCATGGTCACCAACAATATTGGTTAATTTTTAGCTTATAGCTCATTTTGCCTCCGTCACCCAGGGAAACAAGCTCTCTGATATAGCCCATTGCATCACAACACTCTAAATCAGCAGGACGGTCCCTAAAGTGGAGCTTGGGATGGCTGGTGTCTGATGACTGACATGACTACAGAAGGGCTGGGCTAATTCTTGTTGATCAAACTCTGTTTACAAGGCTGTGTTGTGGAAATGAAGTGAGTGTGGGCTGTCCAGTTATAGGACCAATGCAGCTGTTGTTTCTGTGAGATTCAACTGAAATGGAGGGGACATTTGTATACTTGTTATCCTTCATGAGTCAGAGGAAGTCAGTGGATGAGGTCACATGTGAAGGTTGACCCTGGGCATTCCCCAAATGGAGAAAGTGAAGTGTCATAGAATTAAAAAATAATGACTGTGTGGCTAAACTTGGTAATGTCTTGAGATAACAACATGCACATTCTAATGTCTGTATTCAAAGCTAAATTGGTCTTCTGCTGAGTGCTACCTTTGAATTAAAATTGTCCTTGTATGTTAAAAAAAAGATGTTTCAAAACCATTACATTGCATTTTTGTTAAGCCATGTTTGGCCCTAACAACAGCTCCATAACTCCACTTCTCCAGCATCTGCCTAGCTGTACTCCATTAAGGTGCCATATTTAAGCTGGCCTATTTCAGTAACGCTGTATTTCATAAGGTAACAGCCTGCCTGTCTGCCGACTGCACCTTCTGCTCTTCAGCTGATAAGTCTAATGCAAAACTGGCACATGTTGGTTGACCAGTTCTCCCATTAACATGTGCCTTTCAATGCTAAACAGCTCAAGTCATTAAAGAGACAAATACTGTGAACCTGCATAACAGATTAGGCTGTCTAATGTCTTGCGATGTCTAATAAAAGCCCCAAAAATCCCAAATATAAATCTTTTAAAAAAACTCTAAGATCAGTGATGTTAACAGAAATGTAAGGCAATGTTTCAGATGAAGATTGAGAGTAATGTCTAATGTTTTGTTGTTGGTTACTGTTTTGTACTTATTCCTAAATTACACAGTTGGAGTGCCTATTTGGGATTGGTTTTCTAGTAAGAGAGAAAGACAGTAGCCAGAAGGCCAGTCAGACAACAGACACTCAAGAATGAACTCCAGTCCACCAGGGTCAGGATTCTTTGTTTGTGACCTTATGAGTGACACCCACAGATGTTCCGGTTGGCTCTGAAACCACAGGGAGCCAGCAAACAGCCTGGCTCATGCCCTCTCATGCCCATTTTTAACTGGGACAGAGAGTCAGGGGGTAACTGGCCTTCAGGACTTACAGGCTAGTAAACCCAGGTATGGTGAGTCTGGAACAGCTGAGAGACATGAAGCTCTAAAGATGGTGAATCATTTGAATTTGCACGCAGATATTGTCAAATAAAATGTGTTCTTCATGTCAGTATGACATAAAAACTAAAGTTAGCTCAGTCTTTAGCCATCAGCTTCAAAATAAACACACTTATCACACAGTCAGCCGATATTTGCCTTCTGTGAAGGGAGTGTTGACAGGCCTGCAATAACTGACACCCTCGAGGGTTGATAAATAAGTCAGCTGGCCAAACAGAGGAGAGCATCAACAAACTTCAAATGCAGTTACATTATTATCACATGAAGAAGTCAAGATGTTAACCATGTTGGAAAACTAACTGTCAAACACACTATCAACCTCATGGACCTGAGAGTACAGGTAGAGGAGCTCAGACAGGTAGGGGGAGCCAGAGTATGGAGGGCTTCATAGGTGATAATAAGGAGTTTGAAGTGGATACGCTGGAGGATGGGGAGCCACGGGAGTGATGTGGTCACCATTGCGGTAATGTGTGAGAAGACGAGCAGCAGTGTTCTGGATATATTATAGTTCTTGAGAGTTTTGGATGATGAACCGTAGATGAGACTGTTGCAGTCTAATCTGGAAGTGATGAATGCATGGGTGAGGGTGTCAGCAGCTGAAAAGGAGAGGGATGGACGGAGGCAGGTGATGTTTTCCGAGATGTAGAAAGGCTATTTTGGTGATGTGTTGATGTGGTTGTCAAATAATCAGCATTATTCATGATAGCAATGGTTGACTTTTGTAGGTCATAGTGAGGCATCAGTATTAATCTCAGTATGTTGCATAACTGGTGAAAAACTCCCCAATGTTGGTTTAAATGAGTTCAAGAACTACGACCAAACACCACTTCCTTATGTAGATTGTTCAGATATTACACTCTGCTTACTCAGGACTCTCAAGATGCATAATCTTTTATCTACACAGATTTGAAATCCACAAGCTCAGGACATTGTTTGACTGTGAGAAAAGACTAACAGCACTAACAAAAAGTCAGACAACTGCCTGGAAACAACAGAGATGAGAGCAATTCAGATGTGTGGGTGTTCGTCAGCTGTTATCAGGGCTGTCCTCGTCACTGGTGAGTCCTTTATCTTTATAATGTAGTTCATAATGTGAACTGTGAGTGCTCATCTTGCTGGACCTGACACATTATGTAAGAGGTCGCACTGTGGTCACTGGAAACTTAATCTCTCCTAACAGTCTGGATGTGTTAGGCGTTCAGCTGAACTGACCAAAAACTGGATCATAACATATAGATCATTCCTTAACAGCAAGAGGCTGAGCGTATATGCAACATGTTGAGTCATATAACCTCTAGAAAAGTAGGTAAGCTGATGTCTGAAGGGAATTGTTAGTGATTCTGCCTGCAAAGTAAATGTTACTAAATTTAACTAATACAATATGCTAACTGAAAAGGTCAAAGGCTATTCCTCCTTTATTTTTAGTCTGATTTCTGCTGCAGCTACATTTTCCAATTACTCTTCTGTATAATCTCACACTCAGTAACAACAAGAGCTACCAGAGGCATGTGACTGGTGGTTCTTAAATATAAAACAGCCACTTACTGAGCATGTATGCTCTGTTTCAGCGTCACCCTGCCTCCCAGTGTCATTTACAGCCATAAACCAGTATGACTGTGTCCTCTAGCCTCTGCACAACAGTGCTGGCTTAATGTTCTCCTGGCAGTCACTCATAAATGTGATGCCTCCTTCTTATTTTTAACCTCAAACTGCTCTGAATTGTTAGAAACACAAGAGCGCCTGTGATGATTTTTTTATTTTTTTGTATTGTCGTGCCCAATCCATACAGATGAATCTACAACCTACAGAGAATATTTGCAACAGTTAGGTTACATAAATTGAATTCAAAGTATTGAGTAAAACTGAGCTGTAATCCCAAATTTATTCTGGGTTCGTTTGCAACATCAACAGACTTGGATCGATATCAGTTCATTCAGAATGACAGCTGAGGTCTGATTATGATCCTAATCAGTGAGCGCCTAACATGTTTGTGAAGCACTGTGTAACTTTGTTTTAAAAAAACCCCACTCTATTAAAATAGATGACTGCTGTAACCAAGGTTACAAAAGAAGGAAATGTAAAAGATCCAAAACCATTTAGCATTAATGACTTATTGATGTCAACATTTCGATTTCTCAATACTTTTAAATACCACTTGTTCTGAAACAGCATCAAAAAGTAATAAAGCAAAAAACTACAAATCCCAAATAAGAACTGACTCCCAGTTAACCCTTAAAAAAGTGGATTATCATGATGGGTAGTTACGCACTTAACCATTACCTAATCATTACTTACTTATTTTTTGTACCCGATAGTAAAGTGAAGCATCATAAAGTGCGTGTACCGTATTGTAAAGTGTTACCATATTTGGTATTTAAACCACTGAAACTTAGAAGGATATCATGTGCTCAAGGTGGCAGAGTGGTAGACTCCAGGTGAAAGTCAGTGAGCTTAAAAGAAGTTTACGTACCACTATAGTGATTAGTCCGTGCACCCCTTGTACAGAGGCTGTTGTCCTCTGAGTCGGCGGCCTCTGACCTGTGGCTACTTGTGGCCATTAGAGGTTCTACATAGCACCTCAACCACCCCGAAGAACCGCTGTACAACCACTGAAAGGACCATAGTGGACTAGAGTCTGGTGGGGCCCTAGGTGAAAATAATTGTATTTGTTGATTTTGCATTGACAACTTAGGTTTGCACAGCAATAATGCATGCAACACATGCAACAAGAGTGAGTGCTGTTAGCTGGGGCCCCCTTTGGGAGCACCCCTGCTTAAACGGTTCTTTGTACAGCAGCTTAATGGACTTTGTCAGGGCGTTGGAGTACTGCCCAGGTGTGCTGGGATAGAAAATAGGTGAGAGTTTCCTTGTGTTGACAACCCGACATGTGACGTCCCGCGTCCTGAGACGTATTGATTCACTATAAAATGTATAAAGAATCACTATTCTTTGTGTGTCGGGAGAAAAGCCACAAAGCTATCCTAAGCAGCCCTACCTGCGTTTTCACCTCTGTGTGTTTTTATATTGATACATGCCCTGATTCATTTGAGGTACTTTACCTCAGCATTTGTCTCTAAGTGATGCACCTTTTAAATGTCTGTGTTTTGTTGTGAATGTAAGGCATGCTGTCAACATGCCGACACATCAGGCACATGGAAAGCTTGGTCTATATTGAGCATGTGAACTGTACATGTACAAACACTCTCCTTAGAGAGCTGGTTTGTGTTTGAGAGGCCTTTGATTGGCAGTTATGTCTTTATGTAAGACTGTCAATGTTTGAAATTGTTCATTCTTGGAAACTTTATATTGGCAATTATCTAGTTGTGCAATTCATATATTTTTTGCACATGTGTTATTTACCCGCTCTAGGTTTGCTACAATTCATTAGTACATTCTTGAAGCTGGTTAAATACTGTACGTACTACGAAGGTTACTTTAAAAGACACGTTGATTTTTCTGCTGCCAGAGCAACATTTTAGAAAGTACCAAAGAAAACTGCAGATGCATGAACAATCTCTGTGCAACTGTTTTTCACTGAACTGTGCACGCCACTGCACTGAGCTTGTTCTTATCTGCAGTCAACATCAAAGCTGTGGTTACCTACTTCCTGTACCTCTCTGGACCTGTTTTTGTGACCTCAAACAACAATGTGTTCCAGATTGTCTGCTGATGATTGTCAGAGGAGATGGAGAAGACTCTACAGAAAAAACTCCAGAATTAAGTACAACAGTCCAAGGTACCATAATTAAAGGTCACATATTGTGCAAAATACACTTTACTATGTTCTTCTAACACTAACATGGGTCCTTAGTCTGTCTACAAACCCTCAATTATCCTGTCGGCTTTTGCCTGCTCCCCTTTTCAGAAAATGTGTGCTCAAACACGCTGTTTTTTCCCCCTTTGTGACATCACAAAGGGCAGTAACCCCTCCCCCAGGTGGGTGCCACCCAAGCCCTTCTAGAGGGGCGTGGTCAGACACAGATCATTTGCATTTAAAGCTACAGACACAGAAATAGCCTGTTCTGAGCAGGGCTGAAATAGAGGGGTTTATAGGCATGATCAAATACAGGATCAGAGTGGATTTAGAACAAGAAACTTTACAGACATGTTTTGGGGAGCTCTGAGACTTATTTAAACTGGTTGAAAAGTTTGACCTTTTAAAAGAAGACATCCATTCAGATTGATGTCTCTCAATCCATTTATTGATCTAATGAATATTTCTGTTGACATATTACAAGGTTACACATATTTTAACTTTATAAATAGTCAAATGAATCAAGAGGGATAAAAGCTGTCTTTGGCAGAAATTGTAAAAAAAAAAAAACTGTGAATATGCAATAATGCCTGTGTAAATAAGTCTCTCTTTATGATTTGAATTGTATTTCACTTATAAGTGTTTCATAAAATCAATCTATGACGGTTTTGTGATTGATGAAACTTGACCGTGTCAGTGACCTAAAATCCAGCTGGAATCCTTTAGAACACCTGCAATGGCAACATTTATTCTATTATTTAACTGTCAATATTTTAGTTTTGAAGAGGTCGAACTTTGACGTGAGTGTTTGCTGACCTTAACCAGCAGTCAACTTCATCAAACTAGGAACTCAATAGTTCCTAGATGTTCAGGATTCAAGTTGCAAAAACTTGTGACGCAACTGAATTTGTGGAAAGGAGCATGATACCATGACTGAGTCTTTTTCTCTTCCACACAGTAAACAAGTTGTGAAATCACACATCGTCCCTTCCTTCTGCTCCTTCCACACACACACACACACACACACACACACACACACACACACACACACACGCACGCACATACACACACACACGCACATACACACACACAGATGTGCTAGTGTGACACTGGGTAAACATGAGTTGACATTTCCCAAATGGATGTACAGGTTTTACATTGCATCTTGTGATGTTTGCTGCTTGTTTTTGTTCTAGATATGACGTATATTTGGATCGGAGCTGGGGTCGGCCTCTTATTGGTTGCTGGATACATTATTTTCCAGGTCTGCATCATGAGGAGGTATATGAACGAAAGCACAGGTGAGGGTTATGGACTCTTGCAAATATTAAGTATATTAAGAAACATTCATTCGTCTTTTTAGTTTCTTCTAATTAAGTTTTTTTTTAACTCTTAACTATATGAATGATTGGAAGCACCAGATAATATGACACTATGCTTTAAAGGCGGAATCAGTCATTTTCGAAAACTAGCATGATATTGAAAGTAGTATTCCCTCAGTGCGCACTCGAGCAAGGCGTCAACCCTGCACACTTTTTTTCACACTTTTTGCCAAACACCACATTTCTCCACATTGACACATCATTCAAAACAAGACAGCCTGTGTGTGTTTACACCACCACTGAAACAACACACTCAATGAGCAATCCCCTGAACTGAGAATGCACATGTGCAGACCCCTGTAGCCAATCAGATCACACAGAAATCACAAGCGACCTCCTCTCTGGCTAATCATCGGGGAAGGTATCATCTTGAGTCGGGTTTATAGCAATGTGTATAGTTGCATGAGTCTGGGCTGACGTTTTGCACCTTGTTTGTCAAGTTTTGATTCATTGGTTGATTGATGTCTTTATTTCAAACATGTTTTAAAAAAGTTGTTCACTAAATAAATGACGACAGCCATAAATAATACTAAAGTAAGCCTAAACAGCCATTTCAGTTAACACTGCACATGAAGCAAACATTACATGTTGGAAAAGGAGTATGATGAGGTTTACACTTATTTGATCCTATCCCCTTACATTACAATGACTGTATTCATATCAATTCTAAGGAAAACTATGAATGGAAGCTGAGATGCAAATGATGCAAATTACTGAAAGAACCACAGCAGCTTACCTCCGTTTGGTTGTGGAGATGTCTCTGAAGCGGTTACAGGCACACTTATGTGGGAGAGGTTTAGGTGGAAAGTTAAGAAAAAGTGTGGAAAACGCTGACACGTTTCAGCCTAATGGACTTCGTCAGGGCGTTGGAGTTCTGCCCAGGTGTGCTGGGATAGAAAATAGGTGAGAGTTTCCTTGTGTCGGCAACCCGACCTGAGACGTATTGATTCACTATAAAATGTATAAAAGTAAAATAAGTGAAAGAAAATGGTAAACTGCAGTGGGAAAAAAAATACTGTGGATAGAAAAAATGATAAGCAATTGTAAAACAAACAATCAGTGCAATTCTGTGTACATGATGCTCTTGATGTCTTGTGTCAAGCACTTTGATTTGCCTTATAATTGCTATATAAATAAACTGACCTTGCCTAAGGCTACTGTATTTTATGTTCATGTCATAGTCTGTTCAGTGTTGAGAATGACAGATGTTCCTATGGCATGTACAGTATGTTCATATATTGACAGCATGCTATTGAAAATACTAAAACATTGAACAGTAATGATGATTTTATACTCAGCATACATCATTAAGAAGCATATATGTTTAGATTTAACACAGCTGTGTGCAGCTGGCTGAGTAAAGAACTTATTGTTTTGGTGTTTTGTGTTGATCAAGAAGAGTGTATGGTTTTATATTTCTTGTTTGATTTTGCAAAATATGTCACATGTTTTATATTTCGTGCATCTGCTTTAGCTTTGTGTGTGTGTGTGTGTGTGTGTGTGTGTGTGTGTGTGTGTGTGTGTGTGTGTAGCCCTATAGTTTCAAGAACTGTGAAAAATTAATATGTTGAACTTTTTTTTCCTTCAGATGCTAGAGTCTAAACCTTTAGAGGTAAGATATATTTTATTTGTTGTTAAAAACAATCATTGAAGAAATGGAGATGGCACAAATTAAAAAAAATGTAATTTTATTGTAATAATTTGATGTTTGCATCAAATGCTACAGGTGTTCATGTCCTTTATTTACTCTTAACAGCAGCCTCACCAGCTTGCCATAATGCCGTCTCAGCCAATCAGAACATCCCGCGCCATTGGTGTCCAATGACATGCAGTGTTAAAGGTCAACAGAGTGAATCTTCTGCAGGATGATGTGAAACCTGCAGAAGAGGCATGTGGGGAGTATACGATCAACCAGGCGGACAGTTTCCCCCTCAAGTTTTCACACACAAAACACTGTTATAGATCTGTTTTATATCTTATGATGACGAATCGATTGACAATAACATGTAGCAATGTGGTTTTCAAACAAGTATTTTAAGATAATATGAGAAAAGTGTTTTCATTTGGCTGCTGAGTGTTGTGTTGTTTGATTAAATCTTAATTTTAAAGCCTGAATGTGTGTGTACATTTGTGTTTTGCTTCCACTCCTCCTCCGGAGAATCCAGCTGCTCCACTGACACACATTCCTCACTTAGGCCGTTAAACACACTCAGCAGAAAAGATCTGCACTCTAAGCAATTCTTACATTATCCACAAGAGGGTGGCATACCCCTCAAGTAAAAATACACTTTTTACAGTAACCAAAATGTAACCTCTGAACACCAGAGGAGCCTTCTATACAGTTTTTTTTTACTGTACTTTGATTTCTGGTAGGGACATCAAAAACTTTATTTTAACCACTAATTTGACATATTGTCACATCTGAAAATTTATAATTTGCCCCATATTACCTTCTTCAAACAACATCTTTAAGCTCCAATTATTCAGACATCACATCACATACATGAGAAACTCTTGCATACTGTATTATATCTACTGTATGTTGCTTTTTTCCAACTTTCAAGGTTGTTTTGTAAAAAAGACACATCTCTCTTCTCTGTTAAAATAAATTGTGGGCTTCAGAGAGTTTCACTTATCATCCCAGGCAGGCCCGCCCACAGAAATGGCTGGGCCCCTGAAAGGCCAAATGAAAAGGCCCTTATCATATTTGATTTCATATACCAGCACATGCATGTTGGATCAGTAGTGTTAGCCTTGACGATACTCGCCTGCTCATCCTGGATGTGATCGATCGGCATTTGGATCTGACTTGAAAACCTTTGTTAACAACTTCTTGTTGGACACAAATGCCAAAGCCAGTTTCATCTTTTTCTTCTAACTTTTTTAGCTTCCCAGCTTTTGTGCAGGTCTTTGCATGACAACACTCAGTCCAATATTACTGGCCAATGGGCTCGCCTGTGGCATTAACATTACCAAAAATAATTTCATACCATTGGAAAAGGAGAGGGTTTAACTTTTGAATCAGCTACATTTTACTGAAGCAACAATAAATTAAATGTTAGTTAACATTTCTTCAATTTAGAATTCACCTTGTTTTTGATGACCTCCATGGAGGCCCCATGAGGCTGTGCCCCAGAAAGTTGATGTACTTTAACTATGATGCTCTTGAGTGCTAGCTTAGCTCACCGCCATGTTCAGTTATGGACGGCACTGTATGTCAGTCATGGCCTGTCACAAGCACCCATGTTCTTTTGCTACTGTTGTAAGTCTCCTGCACATCTCTTAAAGTTACCATGAGTTCATGCAGACTGTTAGTTTTCATATTTTGAATTAATTAATTAAATGTTAGAAGTGTAACGCTAACGCCACTAGCTTCGCCATTTCTCCATGGGATTTCCCATGTTTTCTGTTAGCATCATGCTAAGTGAGGATCAGTGTCCTCTTAGACAGTAAAATTGGAAACCTGTTTGCAACTATAATGCACTTACAAGAAGCTCTGAAGCAGCAGACTAAATTATTTAATTTGTGTCAGAAGAATAACAACACAGAGATGTTAATATAATTTTTGGGAACTTTTATATGGCATAGGTCATTTGTAGGTTTTATATATATTTCTGTGCTTACTGTTTTGAATTGTGGACAACATTTTGTTGTTGAAGAAAGAAGCAAGGAAAGGAAACACACTACCTGTTGCTCATCTCATTATTTCCATTATTCACAGGAAAAATCCAATCTGGCAACAGTCCACTCCGTACGGGGCTCTAGTATGTGGTTTCCCACGTAATATTTTACTCTGAATTCAGAAGGTTAAAGAGCTTTCTTGTAAAGTGGGGACTTCTTTGTGAAAGGAACAGCCATGTTTGTCAAACCGTCGCCAGACAAGACGCACTTATGAGGCCCTGCGAGGCGTCTCTTTTATCATCTGTAAATCAAAAGTGTACCCGATCCCAGAGCTTTTCTCTGAGTTTGATAAAAGCCAGTAAATTGTCCCCAGAACCCTGAGCTGACAGACTGAAACACAAAGATTTACTGGGGGATCAGATTTCATGAGACAGGAGGAGAGGGGAGAAAGACATGGACACCAACAAAGAGCTACCAGATTAATGACTTGTGTCAAACAACAGGAAAAAACTAACTTTAGATGTAGAAAAAAAAGTTTAAAAAAAAGGTGTGTTTCTGTGTCATTTCATTGGCCACAAATATCCCCGCATACAATCAGAGGCAGCAGTCTGCCCCCTTCCCTCCTGAGTGTGTGTGTGGTTCAAAATAAAAGGCCTTACTTTGGTCTGCGCCTGCTGTCCTCCACAGCTGGAAGTGTGATTTGCTCGGCGTCAATCTCAACAACACAGCCCTCCATCCCTTCCATCCTGCACAGGAAATTACATTTCCCACTCACTCGCCAAAACCAGAGGTGTGTGTGTTTGTGTGTGCGTGTGTTTGTGTCTGTGTCCTCGCACATGCTCACCTGTCTGTTTCTGTCTGCTACTAAAGTGTGCATGTGCATATGTTTGTGTGTGTGCACGTGAGGCTGCCAAATGTGTTTTCACAGTGTGTGACCGAAGGAGGGGGAGGGGCAGAGGGAGGTTCTGAGCAGAAACAGAGCAACCAATGTTTCATATTACACTTGGCTGGGGGAAAAAAAGAGAAAAAGAAGAAGAAGAAGTAGAAGAAGATTGGGAGGGGAACCTGGGGTTTCTTTCCTTCAGCAGCATTTAACTGGGAGTTTATGGAGGCTGCAGCTGTGGAAAATGAAGATCTCCTCTGTGGTCTTCGCTCTCCTGACTCGAGCACTGCTTGGAGGTAGGAAAAGTTGATATTGTTTCATACTAAAGGGGGGTGTGGGGGGAAGTTTGCCAAATGGTTTTTGTCAGACTTTGTGGAAAGCATCAGAGAATGAGAGATGTTGGGGTGATGGTTGAGGAGATTGAGAAAACGCTTTCATCTGGTGGCCAAATTTTCTTTGAAAGCACTTCAGAGTAAGATTGCTGGGTGTGTCGTCAAGATAATAAGAAAAAGGTTACAAAGTTGCATGCACTTGCAGAGATCATAAGGACATCTGACATGAAAAGTGATTGTTCTCCTTGGTTGACTGATAGAAAATCAGTTTGCACATTTACTTCTACTTTTATTTGAGATCATTTCAGTCAAAATGTAACAGCCTGCTCGGAATAAACATGCAACAACAAAATAACACTTTTTTAGCCAGTCAGGTATATATATGTTCGTTGTCACTCAAACTAATTAGAAGACACAACTGGCACTGATTTAATGATGTGGCTGAAAGAGGTGTGTGACAGAAAAATGCTTGCGTGTCTTAAAAAGTGTAGATTGTAAAATTTCTGGAATAGTAGATGTGTGATAGTGTTTTAGAATACAGAGAAAGTGAACCTTTGTAGCTTCATATTCATCCCACGTATGTCATCTGGTGCCAAAAACAATAGGCTGTCAGCGCCACAGAGAAGGCGACTGTTGAGCAACATCAAACCCACAAGAGATGTTAAGACTAAATAATGGCATATAGCTTTAATTCGATTCATTAGACTGGTTGTTGTAAATTGTGCTGCTTTGGTGAGTTCAAGTTCAAGCCAGTTACAGTTAGGTATTACATATTAGATGCATATCATCCTGAAACTGTCAGGCTTTAACTATGGTTTTGAAATTTTTTTTTTAATGGCTTCCCCAGTTGGCTCAAATTATCAGGGTGCTTCTTAAATGTGTACAACATTTATAATTGTATTACAATATCTACATTATATCTTATTAATAAAAAAATGGACTAAACCTATGTTATATTTTTTGTTGTTGTTAATTACCTCAAATATTTCCAAGCGTTATCAAATTCAGAGGAATCTGTAATTTAATTGTTGTAACAGGACTTGATTGTCGTGGCCTCTGCCAAGACAGACACAACATGTTTATCATTGCCGTGGAAACACCAGATTTTACGTCAAAGACCATTACATAAGGAAGCGGGAACTGCTACTGAAAGCTGCCGTACTGTTGCTGTATTTGCTGCTGTGATAAAAAAATGTCATGAAAATTATGATCTAAATTATACTTAGATACATCATCTGGAAACATATTCTCTTCCCCAGGTCGGTTTCGGCCATTCGTTTTTACTACGTCAACTGGGAGTTAGTTTTTATGGGGAAAGGGGTTAGCAGATAGAACTCCCATATTTCCCTGCTAGCCTCGATGTCATATTTTCTTATTGTACTGATTGAGAGCCCCCTAGTGGCAGAATCTACATACTGTGCCTTTAAAATGATTTAAATATCTTGGGAGACATGCAGTAAGTGTGTTAATTTAACGTTCATATAAGGTGAAGGACAGTTATTATTGACATTTAATTTTGAACACTGGAGAGCTTTCTAATCGATGTCACCTTAAGCGGTAAACAAATTAGTTTTTACCTTGAAATGTTTTTTTTTTATATAATGAAAACAATGTTAAAGGCGGAATATGCGATTTTTTGATCCAGCAGATGTCGCCCTTGAGCACCAGCATGAAACCAAAACAACTCATTGCATGCTAATGCTAGCGATCTTTATTATGCTCGTATCCTCACACTGCATGTAAATTTACCTGAAATGAGCGTGATCTAGAAACACAGTTAAGCAGTGAGTACAGTATGTTATTCTTCTTTTCTCTAGTCCCTCAATTAAACAACTTTTATACGCCGGGGGAGGAGTCGGCCGCTCGTCCTGGCGATGTAAACAAACTGAAGATAGGACTCTGAAAACTCTGAAAACATCACAGACAGTGGGACTCAGGTGTTACACTCATTGTAGACAGTCATGACTCACAGAGTTATTTTCAGAGGATATACTTGATTTCTATTACATTTAAGTATGAAAAATTGCATATTCTGCAAGTGTTGACATGTCAAGTATCAAGAAAGCTGTGCAAATGTAATCTGCTTTTGAGCACGAACTGATAATCAGTACAACTACAATAATCTTTACACTGTAAAAAATTGAATTAGTTTTTCTCTTATTTACGATATATGATCATGCAGGAAACAAACCTGAAAGGTAACAAATTAAACCTCCCAAAAACTATTTTCTTACCATATGTTCAAATTCAGAAACCACCGAGCTGATGGTGACAATAACTCCTTAATTCACTGGTTCCCAGCAGTTTTTGGCTCGAGACCCCACTCTGACTTCACAAAACTCTGGCAACTCCAGTCATCCAAAACACATACAGCTTTTTGGTAAAAATTAACTTATTTTCAACTGTGTTGCAAGTAAACATTCCTTTTAGACCACATTTAGGCTTATACGTCTAAATTATTGTGGACAGAGGAAGAAAGACTGGGACGATATTTCTGCACAATGGATGTCAGACAGACAGAGACTCTGCAACTTCCTTGTTTTGGCATTGGCCATGGCCCACAGTAGCCTGTGTTCTTTATACTGTATTTTAATATAAAACATATTTTTAAATGATCATACGTTCTTTTAGATGACCCTATTTGAATTCCATCCGACCCCACATGGGGCTGGGACCCCAAGGTTAGGAAAGCCTATGTTTAATCCATTTATCAAATGAGGAGAGCCATAACCTTGTGTAACATTTTATTAGTTAATAATACTTATCTTTAGTTCTTTGCTTATTGTACAGAATTAATAGTACTGTTTAAAAATGTTTTATATAAACTAAGTGTTTAATTCTCTTGTTTCTGAAAGACTGTGCCTTGAAATAAAATGTGACCATCAACTCTAAATACTTCACTCAAAGTGACTTAATGTCTCTTAAACTTTTTGGTAAGTTTTATGTAGAAGAACAACATGGTGATTAAAATAAATGATCTTATATTAGACTCAGTACTTAATTTACCATGTGATTTTTTACAGTGTAGCCAACCATCTGTGGTCTGGACCAAACAATGGAGAGACAGGAAAACAGCTGTGTGTGCTTAGAGGGATGCCTGAACTCTGTCAGAATCAAAGGGCCTCTGAAGCTAACATGCAGTCAAAACAAGAGTAGCAGTCTCCACAGTCATATGTGTTTTATTTACTCATAACCTGCATCCAATTCAATGACATAATTTAAGCTTAAAGGGGATTGGATCATTTTGGTATACATCTTTAAGGGACAATAGTATAGTATTTAGAAAATCCCAAAATCCACATTAAACATACTAATCCAATCAAATTCCTTTCTGTTTTTTGTTCTCCAGATTTGTGTTTGGCCATTAACGTCACCATCACCCCCTCTCCCTTCACTGTAGCCCAGGAGGGTGAAAATATCACGCTCTCCTGTGTCGTGTCCCAGCGGCGCCGAAACGCTGCTCTTCCTGTGGTTAAATGGACCTTCCTGCCTGCTGGCACAGACCGGCCTGAGGACGAACTCCTCATTGCCCGGGTCAACATGAGGAAGGCCCGTTTCTATGGCAACTACACTAAGAGCTTCCCGTGGCCCAAACTGAAATTGACAGTGGTGAAGCAGGGGAAGATCTTTGACCTTGTTATCTTAAATGTGTCTGAGGGGGACCGGGGGCTCTACATGTGCCGGGTGCAGGAGTTTAAAAAGCACCAGGACCGCTGGAAGGCCTCTTCAAACTGCACCGCCGCCACTGAGCTCAGAGGTGAGGGTCATATTTACTGTTTACATTATCAACAGATGAATTCTGTGAGCATAATCCCCTGGTTCACGTTTGTTGAGAAAATGACTTAGCCAGTCTAGAATGGGTCATAAGATATGGGTGCAGAAATCAACGTCTGTTCACCACTGTCAGATTTATACATGAATCATGCAGCAAACATGCTATGATGTACAACTTTTTCTGAGTAAACACAACATCAGAGTATAGTGATGATGATTCATTATGTTAATGATACCATTATAGATTCATTAATATTCAAAGCTGGACTAATCAATGCTTGTTTATTAGTCTAGTCATATATGAAAATATAACTTGATTCAAAGTTTTTTGGGATGTTTTTTCAAATTAATATAGTCTTTTTCAATGTTTGGTCAAACTTATATTTGTGAGCAATGGGATACTCCTGAATTTACCCTCTATCTAGCTATCTATCTAGCTACACAGTTTTTGCTCAGCTTTTGTCATGGAGTGTTGCAAAATATCCTTTGTAACTAGGACTTCGGATATGTCAGAAAAACACATTTGTCTCCCTCTTTCCCATCCTTGGTTCCCAAAGCCTACGTTGGTTTGCCAAATATCTATCGTATAAAGTCAATATTACATTTAGAAATGTTTTTCACATCCTAGACTACAGAAAATGTTTGTTGAACAATATTATAACTTTCAAACTTCATTAAGGTTTACATGCAAATCGTTTGTATGTTTGACTCTTTTCTAATCCCTTCTTGGTAGAAGAAGCGAGTAGCTGCAGCCAGGTTTCTCACAGAATGTCATCACTGCTTCTAATGGTGCTGGGCGGAGACTTAAGAGCTATTTCTGCAACCACAACAGAAGCAATGACAAATGCTGTTTTGATAATAGTAGGGCTGCAAATAGTTTTTTCGCAGATGCCAGGTTTGTCTGCAGAGATCTAACAAGGCCAGAATCAGAAAACTCTGACTGCGATGGCCGCCCCTAGACGTGAACACACTCAACTGTTTGAGGCTTTTGCTCAAACAAGGATGACAATGATGCTTGTTAACCCTTTCTAAAGTTGATGTAAACCCCTTATTTTAGTAATTCAGAACACAAAAATATGAATATACCTGAAAGGGACAGTAACACGGTTTGGTCCACCAAATGAGTGTAATATGCCCTGAAATGGTGGATTAAAGCAAACTAAAACTAAGTTAAACCAGTAATGACATAGTTCTATCAATTGGGATATAACTATGTTTGTTCTGCTGAAGCATATCTAATTTATCAGAGTTAGCATTTTCTGTAACCACAGCTGGATGATGTAATACATCTGGCTGAAGACGCGGTGAAGTTGGTTGCACTGTCCTGCTTCTGATTTGGAGAGGGGGAGTCATTGGTGGAAACCTGGAGATAAAAGGATCTTCCATCAAATTAAACTGTGGCTTTGACAGAGTAGATGATCTTGGAGAAAGAGCAGAGAGAGTGTGAGGTTTCAATACCACCACCGGGGTATGCATGACACATCCACTGGTGCCACACACTGAAAGCCCAGAGAGCCCAGAAATCCCTTCACTTTTTAATGCCACGACAACGGTTTTTACCCCACTTTCACATCAGATTGAGTTTGCAGATGTTTTTTCCATCCTATACTTTAATCCATGACCACATTTAATTATTATTATCAGGCTCTCTTTACCTGAAAACCCCAGTTTTCAATAACAATAAGAGGCAATTACTACTCAATTCTTTTAATCTTTAAGTATACATTTTTCTATTTTTTGACTGGAGTTTACCAAGAGCAGGCTTGTTGAATTAAATTGTTATCAGGTCTAGCTACCTAGCTAAATAAATTAAAGTTAGCTTTGAGGTAGAGCAAAAGGTTTCCTCCTGCTTCATTCTAATATTTACAGCTGACTTTTTTTCGAATAAAAGTTTTGAAAGAGAAGCATTTCTGCCAACTGATGATGCAATAATGATGACAATAACCATATAATGCAGCTCAGAGCTAGTTAGTCAGATGGCTTTACGACTAACCCTCTAGTCTAGTTAGTCAGAGGAGAAAGTATGATAAGAATAATCATTATAGGAGACTGTAAATACTAAGTGATACTTGTTGACATCACTTTGAGAATTGATGAAGGCTATAGGGCACTAAGGGACATCGAGGGGCTCTTTACATCTGTAACAAGGAGACCCCACTTAAGTATTTGTGTTTATAAATTATATTTACAATGCATGTCATTTGAGTACTTGTGAACAGAACTATCTTCCCTCTAACTTCCCGACCCTGGGTCCTTAATGCTGAATATAGGACGCATGAGCGTTTACACTACCAAACAAAGGTGGATAAATGTGTGCCGGACCACCTACTGTAGGAATTGGGATGTGTTCACCTTACATTGAGGCTATCCACTTGTTATCAGATCACCCAGGATGGATGTTAATGCAAGGTGTAAACAGACTGAGAAAAAAGGCGGTATGCATCTTGAATGGTCACAAATCAATGAAAAGGCTGGCACATAAAGATACACAACAATTCATGCTCGTATTCTAAAGTACAGCAATTTAGATTTAGAATTCACCTGATGTTAGCCTCATCTACTAAAGTATGAATAAAAACAGATACATTTGACAGAAGAAGACTTTCTATGGTAGCAAATCGCTGAGAATTTAAGGAAATCCCTACAGGATAAAGCAGTGCTTCTAACATTAGCATATACTCTTAAAATGTCAGCAGCTATTGGCTGTATTATTACTTTGTTAAAGGAAATCTGTCACTCAAATCAATATAAAGAGCAAAAGATAGTCTAAGAAAATTGCTATGAGGTTACTCACTTCAGTAGCTTGAATAAGAGTTAAAAAGATGTTTAGTCTTATCTTTGACACTTAAGCTCTTCTGTGTTTAGTTTTATAGAGGCTTAAAAAGACTGTCAAACCCTTCAAATGCTTACTATCTTTCTTGCTACAGTCCCATAAAAGTTTGTTGTACATACTGACCATGTCTGAAGTACACGTTTAGGCTTATGGTGACTGTCTTACTATCCAGCATCCGTTTTATGTAACTAGCTAGAATTGCGTAACTTCTTTATGCTTCTTTAATCTAGAAAAAGAGCAGACAAACACCGAACACTTATGAACAAAAACAGATGCCTTGATGATGTAGTTGAAGGTTCTGTCGCGGTTGTATGAGCATATTAAAGCTGTTGGAGAGGCATTCAGTTGAATTGCTTGATTTGATCGTGGTTTATCCAAAGAATCAATGCATTCTCTTTTGCAACAACCTCAAGACAATTCATACTGTCAGTGCTCAACAACACTAGACGTTGCTCACCACATTTTCCATGGAAGCGTTCCTGCAGGCTGTGACTTTCATGTTGTCCACAGCCAAATGGGCTCATGTAGACACCCAGTCCCTTCCAGGAGCTGTTGACATTGGCCCTGACAAGGAGTTTCCCTCCCAGAAGTAGAGCAGACGGAGTCCACTGAGACTCAGCAGAAATGGAACAAGAGATAGTTGTGCTAAGGAAGGTAAAGTTTGAATGTTTGTCTGCAGCAGAAGTCCAGTGGGCAGCTGGCTCGTGTCTACAGTCTTTGGTGGTCAAGGATGTGGGGAGTTATTTTTATCTGAGGAAGCACCAGTCGTTTGTGGCTTCGGAGGTATTAATAAAAAAGTCAACGGTGACAATTTGTATAAACACTGCAACCACGACCAGAGAAAAACTTGAATATAATAAAGATAGGTTGTTTATTTTTCATTACACAACTGGAGTAATGAGGTTATTATTCTTGATTCAAGTGGAATTCTTGTCCTTTTCACTTTTTGACTATCTAATTTAATTGAAGAACACATTTTCCCAATTCTCACATATAGGTATACTGTGTGTTAAAGCAATGTGAAAAAAGGCTTAAACATTAGTATTGTGTCTTAATACATGAAGTATATTTCTGGGAGACAGAGTAAAAAGGAGTTGCAAAACCAACATCTGAAAGATAAACTATTAAATGTTTTAGTATTTGAATTGGGACTTTTAATACCACACACTGTCGATGATGTCAGCTGGGTGCTTTCAATAGGCAGGCCAAAGCAATCGCTATGCTTGACTTCACTATTGGTGCCCAGTGGACCAACAGGAAGGGTTAATTATTCCCGGTATTCACAGCACTGTTGACAGCTATGATAAACATCAGCTTCACATCTGAGGGGTTCAAACCTCCCTGGGACTGTTGCTCCACAGTCCACACTCCTGATGAGAAACAGCAGATGACTGAGACTTTTATGAGCATAAACGTGTGTGTTTCTGATGCCATACTGGTGGAATTCCTGCGGTGGGACAACATTAGGTGACCAGGTGTTTCCACAATCCGTCACAGACACAGAACTCCCATTACTCTATACCTACTACTGCTATAACAAACACAGCCCGAGAGGTCAGAGGGTTTGGTGGAGAATTTAAAGGGAAGAGCACAGTATGGACGGAGCACCAGTTTGGCATAAACAAACTGAGCTGAAGACATTTCTACAATGTGGGCGACTTTCAGTGAACAAGGATATTTCTGCGAGGAACACCGGACACGGATGTGGCATGGTTTAAGAATAGAAAGAACGTGGAACTCTGGGTATTCTTCTGGCAGCTAAATGAAAATCAGAAATATCTGAGATCACAAACATCTCTGGGTTGCTTTTAAAGACAAACAGGGACATATGAATAATTAGAAAAACAAAACAGGTCAATGTTTTTGGCCATAATAGGGTCACGAGGTACCAATGAACAGAAAAATACTCCACCAAAAGACAACAGGAAGTGAAGGACGATTCAACCCTTTGTAAAGACATTCAATGACGCTTTGTACTTAAATTCATCTGCTGGCTTTTAAATACAGTTAATTACAGCATTGACTGGCTGTAAATGAGGATAAAACAGAGGATCATTATTCTGTCCCCTGTCTTTGTATTGATGTTTACAGTGTTGGGTTTGTTGGGGGACAAAAAAGAGGCCACGAATCTGAAAAACAGTCAGTAAATG